TATGATTACATGCTTTTCAATCTCTCCTGAATATGATTTTCATATTGTGTTCCGGTAATGTTTACAGACTTAGGATACATTTACAGTTTGGATTTATTGTGGCAAATTACTTAGGAATAATTCAGTAGAATCCTAGATTTAAGGCATAATGGGCAAATTTGTGAAACTGCATTAAGCAACATTTTCTATTTTAATAGGCAATAGAGAGCAAGTCATGAAGTGTAGTCTATAAAAATGATTTCTCGAGTTATTTACTGGTGCTTTTTAAACACAGCTGGCAATTTTTCCATAGTTATTATGGACAGGATATACACTATTGCTGAAGCAGAGGGATTGAAATACAGAATATGTACTTAGCAGGTGACAACGTGAAATCTACCCCTTTTAGTTATAACTTCAAGTGCTAAGACTGTGAATTCACTTCTGTTAGAAGTGGGTAAGTGGAATCAAGGAACTAAAAATTAATTAATTGACTGGTGGTAGGGAGTTTTTTCATTTAAAGGGAAACTATAGTGCCAGGGAAACAAACTCGTGTTCCTTGCACTACAGCTTCCCCATCCGTCAAGGCCCCATATTTGGTGCAGAAGAGGTTGAAAATCCCTTCTGTCACTTACCTGGGTCCAGCGCTGATGTCCCTCGGTGCTAGATTGGGTCAGTTTTCACTCCTCCCCCACTGACATCAGCTGTCAGGGAAGACTTAAAGTGCATGTGTGGCAATGGCCACGTTCGCTTTAGGATTTCCCCAATGGAAAGCATTATTCACTGCTTTCCTATGGGGATTCTGGTGACTCTGGAAGTCCTCATGCATAGCGTGAGGACGTCCAACCTCATTTAGGTGACCAAAAGTTGCCTGACCACCTGGAAGTCCCTCTAGTGGCTGTCTGGCAGACAGCCACTAGAGGAGGAGTTAATCCTAGCAGGTACTTATTGTTTTAAATATGTTTATTGTCAGCAATATAAACACGGGTATTGAACTTGGTATCATTCATGCATATAGTTGCCTACGCAGAGGCGTGCACATTGAAAGTGTATATAATGTGAGGCCGACATATTCCAGTTAACTCAGAGTAACACATAGTTGCCTGCGCAGAGGCTTATAAGTCAAAATAAACACGCAATGACAAATATTAGACATTTATAGGTCTTGCAGGGCTAGACATGTAAAAGGTGGTGAGCTTGCTTGGTATTGCGTTGTTAGGGCGTTGTTGTCAGGTATGTAGTGGTTATTTGGGGTGGCAGTTGGTATCATGTGTTCAGCTATCGGCTCATTAAATGGTGTTAGTGTGGTTCGTTAATAATACACTGTTTTCTTCTGAGATGCCAGTGTTTGCGTATTTATCCCTGTTGCCGTAAACTGCAGTGAAGGCCCATCTTGCGAACATGTGTTGGTGTTTACGCGTTCTGGTCTTTTGTCTGTATCCCTGAGTTCTAGTGTGTCTCGTGGCTACCTGCTCGTGCATATTGGGGTTGTATTTGTTTTTTATGTTTCGTGTCCTTTCCCTCTGCTGGTGATGGTGAAACCTTCTGCGGTAAGTCTGTGTCACCTCTATTGCGTGTTTCCATGGTTTTGTCTATGTAGTGTTGCTTTATTCTGGAGCTCTGTGTGTCTGCCTCTATTGTTGCGTCTTTGTGGTTCCGGTTTGTGTGTCTGAGTCACTGTCTGTGTGTCTTGGTGTCGTCGCGTTGAGGTGGGTTCACCTATGTGCGTGGATGTGGTGTTGTTCTGTGGGTTTTGGGGTAGATCAAAAAGGTCTGTGTTTGGGCTGTGGATGTGTGTGGCGCTCAGATCATGTGGTTTCGCAACTCTCGTCTGGTGTTATCTGACTGCAGTGGCCGTTTGTTCTATGTCTTGGCCGTCCGTGTGTTCGTAGTGGGTCTTGGTTCAGGTTGCGTAGTTTAAAGTCTTGGCACGCTGCCGCTCGTATGTGTTGTGTGTTTACTTGTGTGTGTCCCCGACTGGCCTGCTCATTGTCCCGCCTCCTGTTGTCCTTTGGGTGTGCGACTATATGTGTCGGCAAGTTGTGTGTCGTGTATGTGCATGTGGGTGTTGTGGGTTGGTGATGGTGGGTGATTCCGACCCCTGTCGCCGTCTCGGTTCATCGGTCCCCAGCTTTTCATATTAGTGCCGTATTTATTTTGGCTTAAAACTCTCCTCCTTCGTCTACTGCGTCGCCATGCGGTTACGAAAGGCGTCAGTGGTGGTTAGTCTAAGCCAGTGAAACCAGCGTTTGGTGTAACGATCTCTAAGGTTCGGGGTGGTTGCCTTCACGTCTTCGAATTTCCTAGTTGCTTCCACCTCTTCCACCCATCTTGCGATGGAGGGTGTGGTGGCCTGTTTCCAGTATATTGGGACCGTTGCTTTGGCTGCGTTTAATAGTCGTGGGATGACAGATTTACTGTATGTCGGTATAGACATCTCCGTGTGGTGTAGGAGGAACGTTGGTGGGGAACTCGGGAGCATTTCGTCCGTTACTTCATGTATTACCTCTCTGATCGTGTTCCAGAATGGTCGGAGTCGGGAGCACGTCCACCAGGTGTGTATGAATGTTCCTCTCTCTATTCCACATCTCCAACAGGTGTCTGTGGCTTCCGGATTCCTGGCGTGTATCGCCGTCGGTGTCAGGTACCACCTGGTGTATATTTTGTATGAGTTTTCTTGCAGCCTCGCCGAGCTAGGTGTTTTTTGTATCAGGGTGATGTTTTTGTCCCAGGCTGCTTCTGTCATGGATTCTTCCAGGTCTTCCTCCCAGTTTCTCATGCAAGGGGGTGCCAGTAAATATCTTCCTGTAACCAGCATTGCGTATATCTGTGAAATGGCACGTGGGGTTTCGGTTTCTTGCGTACAGAGTAGTTCGAATTGTGTGGGGTCTCTCAGTAGTGATGGTTTTTGCGGGATAGACCGAGCGTACCCTACTATTTGTGCTCTCGCCAGTGTGTGTGCAAAGGTGAGCGTTCGATCAGGAAAGAGGTCTGTGACGCCGCGGACTTCAAATTGGCGTTGGAGGACATCCATCATGCGAGGAGTCGTTGTGCGTCCCCTCGGGCCTGGCATGGGGCCGTGGTCTCCTGCTGGGAAGTCTGGGTTTCCTCTCAACGGCAGTAGCGGGCCTGGATCCGTCGTGAGGTATTGCTTCGTGCCTTCCCTGTGCCATACCTTCATGGTCGCCGCCACGAATGGGTTGGTGATATGTTTATGTTTGTAAGCGGCTCTGGGTATCCACGGTAGCGTGCGAAGGTCGCAGTCCGTGATGTCGGATTCTAGCTGGGTCCATGGTTTTGTTCCGCTGGCAACCGACCAGCTGACTATTCTGGTGAGGTGCGCTGCCTGGCAGTACTTTTCAAAATCAGGGAGCGCCAGGCCTCCTCGGAGTTTAGGCAGGGTTAGTTGAGCGTGTGCTATGCGTGGGGATTTGCCCTTCCATACGAACTTGCGGACCTCTGCCCGTATCGTCTTAAAGAAGGCTTGCGGGGCTAGTATCGGCACCGTTTGGAACACGAAAAGAAGTTTCGGTAGTAGCGTCATCTTTACGGCGTTTACTCTTCCTAGCCATGATGCGTAGAGGGAGCTCCATTTATTTAGTTCCTCCGTTGCTTTTTTAAGTATAGGGAGATAGTTGTGGATGTATAGGTCTCCCGGGGTGGGAGTGAGCCACACCCCTAGGTACCGCATACGGAGGTCGCACCAGCGGTACGGGTGCAGTCTTTGAAGTGTCCGTTTGTGGGCTTGATCTATGGTGAGGTTGAGGATCTCTGACTTAGCGTAATTTATCTGGAGGTTGGAGATCAGCCCATATTCTTTAAATTCTGCCTGTATTTCCTGTAAGGTGGTCTCTGGACGTGCGACCACGAACAGCAGGTCGTCCGCATATGCTAGCGTTTTGTGTTGTACCTGTCCAACTGTGAGGCCCTGTATGTTTACGTTCTGTCTGATCCTCCGCAGAAACGGCTCCAGCGTCAACGCGAAGATTAGGGGAGAAAGTGGGCACCCCTGTCTGGTTCCATTGTATATCTGGAACGGGTCCGTCAGTGCCCCGTTTATCCGGATTCGTGCCGTTGGGTTGGTGTAGAGGGCCCGTACCCATGTAAGGTAGTGAGGTCCCATCCCGTAGGCTTGGAGGGTCTCGAACATCATATCCCAGTCCACCCTGTCGAATGCCTTTTCTGCGTCTGTGGACAGGAGGAGGGTCTGTGTCCCGAGTGTTCTAGCGTGTGCGATGATGTTCAGGGCTCTAATGGTGTTGTCACGCACCTCTCTGCCCGGGATAAACCCTGTTTGGTCCGGGTGGATTAAGCCTGGCAGTAGCGGCGCTAGTGTCGCTGCCAGGATGCTTGCCAGAAGTTTGATGTCTGTATTGAGTACCGAAATCGGGCGGTAGTTTGGGCACAATGTCGGGTCTTTGCCCTCCTTTGGTAGCAGGGTAATGTTTGCTGAGGTGAACTGGGCCGTAGGTGCAGCTCCGTCCTGTATGGAGTTCAGGGCTTTAAGTAGTTTCGGCTGAAGCTCTTGCGTGAAGACCTAGTAGTATTGGAGGGGCAGTCCATCTGGCCCCGGTGCCTTCCCCGTTTTAGCTTTCTTGATGGCGTATGCCAACTCTTCGGGTGTTATAGGCGCTTCTAGCGCGTCTTTCTCTGCTTCCGTTATATCTGGCATGTTTGCTGAGTTCAGGTACTGGCGTATGTCTGCCGTTTTCTGATGTTTCTGGTTGTCCTGTGCTTCCTTGCGGAGGTGGTAAAGGTCCTGGTAGTATCGTTGGAACTCCGTTGCTATTTGTTCTGGGAGGTGTCTGATTTGCTGCTGTGCGTTTTTTATTTTCGGTATATACAGTTGTGTCTTACGTTGCCTCAGGAGATTCGCCAGCAGTCTCCCGCACTTGTCTCCGTGTTCATGTATCATGTGTCTGTAGTGTTCGTACACGCGTTGGATCCTCCTGTTAAGGTGCGCTGTGAGCTGGTTGCGTTTATCTGTTAGCTCTCTGTATATTGTTGTTTCTAAGGTTCTTTTATGTCTGGCTTCCAAGGTCGCAATTTCGCTGCTCAGCCTGGTTATTTCCCGTACCGCCGCCTTTTTTTTTGCGATTCGCGCATATTGCTATAATCTGGCCTCTTGCTACCGTCTTGTGTGCTTCCCAGCATGTCATTGGTGTCACGTCCTCCGTTTCATTATCTTGGAAGTAGTCTCGTATGGTTTGGCCTATTTTATCAGCCACTGTCACATCCGATAGAATTGATTCGTTCAGTCTCCAGGACATCTGTCTGGGTTTAAATAACGGTGATGCCATCCGTATGCGGATCGGGCAGTGGTCCGACCATGTCATCGGCAGTATGTCTGCTGCCTTGAGTAGGTCCAAGTCGTGGTGTGCTAGTAAGAAGTAGTCTAGCCTCGTGTATGTTGCATGGGTCTGTGAGTAAAACGTGTAGTCCCGCGTTGTTGGGTTCAGCGCTCTCCAGCAATCCGCCAATTGGTGTTGGTGCAGTAGACGGAGTGTGTTCGCGTGTCGCTTATGCGGGGTTCTGCCGAGTGTCGATGTGGAGTCTTGGTCTGGGTGCAGGGTCAGGTTCAGATCTCCCCCCACGATCAGAGTGCCTTCTGCGAACTTCATCAGGGTGTTCAGTGCGTTCCGAAGGAAAGGAAACTGTTTCGTGTTCGGGGCGTATATATTGGCGAACGTGTAGGTTTGTTCGAGGATCGTGCCTTTAGTGAAGATATACCTGCCCTGTTTGCATCTTACTGTGGCTTGTTCCGTGTATGGGGTTCTGCTGGAGAATATGATACCTACTCCCAGCGTGCGCCTGTCCGGGTTGTTGCTAAAATATCCCGTTCTAAAATTGCGGTCTCGCAGTGCCGGTGCTCTGCCTTCTTGAAAGTGCGTTTCTTGGAGAAACGCTATTGACGCCCTATAGTGTTTCAGATCCCGCAGAAGACTTGTGCGTTTTTCTCTGACGTTTAAGCCGTGTACATTATATGAGAGAATGGTTAGGTCTTCCCTGGTGTAACCGCCAGGGCCTGGGTCCGGCATCCTCCGGACGGCCACAGGGGTGAGTGAGTCTGTTGCGTGGTTCGGTTGGGGAGTGTGTGAGTGTGTGGTGGTGTATTGTTGGGTGTGTAGTCGGTGTTGCGTCTATTCGCGACGCCTATATGGCCTTTGTATTACTGTAGGGTAATGGACAATCGTCCCGGGTATCCGACCGCGTAACCCGGCCTGCGAGAGGGGGCTGGGTCTATTCCGGGAGTAGTGTATCCCCTGATAAGTGGGGGTCCCTATGTCCTATGCCTGTGGGGGAATCGGGCTTACCGTCTGCGACGGCGCAGTCCGTTTCTGGGTTCCTAGAAGATCTACGTGTATGTATTAGTACTGTACGCAGTCCTTAGTCTGTCTCCCGGGTGGCTATTTACTCGGAGCGCCCGCTCCGTTTCTTAGTTTGTGTCGATTATGGGTTCGTTTATGAGTGTGTGTCTCGTCTGTTTGCATCTGAGCTGTTACTGTTTGTCCGTCATCTGCTCACGTGTGTGTTTTGGTTTGTTTGGAGCCCGCTTGGAATGGGTCTAGCTATTTCGCGAGGTGGGGACGCTGTGGTATGGGGTGCCTCGTGGGTCGAATCAGGCCTGTGGGGTTCCTTTGTTCGGGTTTGTCCTCTGTTTTGGGTGGAGCTTTGAGTCTCTGGTCTAAGGTTTGTCTGCTGTCCCTGCACTGTCTAGGGTCGTTGGTAATGTCTGGGGGAGGGCACCTCCGTCTTCCAGTCGCCTGTAGTAACTATTTCGTCGTCCTTTGTTAGCCTTGGACTGGTCTTAAGCTCTGAGTGGCTCTGGATCCGCCTGGAGGCAGGTTCGGGCCAATTTGTATGGGTTTCATGCATGCGCCTAACGTTGCGCGTTGAGCCGTACGCACCGTGTAAAGGGCATATCTCTTTTTTTTTCTTTCAAATATTTATAAATATTATAGCCATGTCTCCCCCTCCCTCCCCTAACCTTTTAATACGGTCCCCTCTCTCCTTCTTTTAGTATTCCCACCCTGTATTCTCCCGTTTTCCATTGTTTATCCTTGTTCCCACTTTTTTGTTTTTGTTTCTTGCGCTTCCATCTTACCCTCATCGATCAGGGGCCCCTTAACTCCCCTCCAACTACTCTACCCTCCCACTTCCCTCCCTGCCCCCTACTCCCCCTTCCCCCTGCCAAGTTCCCTTTTGCGCTGTGGGTTTGCACGGCCCTGGAGGCCTTCGGAGTTGCGCCTCTACTGGCGGTGCATCGTGGTTGCATTGTCCTTGTGTCCGTTTGTGTCCTGCATTCCCCATGTGGTCGTTCTCATCATATCCCCTTCCCTTGTTCCCCGCCCCAAATGTCCTGGTGCCCTCCCGATTGAGTTTGCGGTAAGGGGCATGACTCTGGTCATGCCTTGCGTGTTCCCCCCCGACATATTATAGTTGAGGTATAGTGTCTTTGTGACCCTTTATCCCCCTATTCCCTCCCCAATTTCTGCGTGCTTGTGTGGTTCCCGTACGGTGTCCCCTGTGATGGTACTCACGATTTAGCTAGTTCTCATCAATGGAGTCCCCATGTCCTTGCCTTGGCTGTGCGGTGCTGTGTTCTGTTACTGCTCCCTCTGCGCTTGGCCCTGGTGCCATTCGCGTTGGTGCTGGGGTCGGGGCCTTTGCTGGTCCGCGATGGGTCCGCGCGGTTGTCGTTGTTGCGGGCCCGGTGGTTGTTGGAGGAACGATCTTGCCAGCCAGTCTGGCACCTGCTGCGGCGGGAGGCCTAGAGTATGTAAAAAGCTTTGGACATCATCTGGCTTCCGGATTGTTAGTTGGTCTTGTCCGTGTCTGGCTGTGAGGGAGAACGGGTATCCCCAGCGGTACGGTAT